CAAGCTGAAATTGATTAAAAGAGCGGTATCCCAAGCTAAAAGATGATACTTAAAAAAAACACACACACACACACACCCATATTTTGTCACTTATATTAGTTGATTCTCAAGAGCAGTATCCCCAAGTTAACCCATTCATTTTCTCTAGTTTGTGATTGTTGTAGATGATGAAAACGGCAATCATGAAGGAGACCTTATCATGGCAGCAACCCTTGTAACCCCTCAGGCCATAGCTTTCATGATTAGGCATGGTTCTGGAATTGTATCTGTAGGGATGAAGGAAGAGGATCTGGAGAGGCTCAAGATTCCCATGATGTCCCCCATTACGGAAATTGATGATCTTCCTACCGGAGCTTCAACAGTGACAGTGGTAATGCAGTGAGTTTCAAGTAGCTAAAAATTCTTCCGATTTCCTCATTATTCTTCACCAACATATGTTTTTCTTATGATCAATCTTATGAAAAAATCAGGATGCTAGAGTGGGTACATCTACTGGAGTCTCAGCTGCAGACAGGGCAAAAACAATCCTTGCTCTTTCTTCTCCAGATTCTAAGCCAGGCGATTTTAGAAGACCAGGTCATGTTTTTCCTCTCAAGTATAGGAATGGGGGCGTATTGGAGAGAGCTGGTCATACTGAGGCATCAGTGGATTTAGTTGCCCTTGCTGGGTTGTGGCCTATTGCCGTGCTTTCAACAGTGGTCGACACTGAGGATGGCTCAATGGCAAGTTTGTCTATTTTGAAGAAAATGGCAGAAGACTATGATTTACCTATCGTCTCAATAACTGATTTGATCAGGTATGTCAGTAAAATCTTTTTGCGGATAATATTGACTTCATTATTATATATCTCTACGCCATTTTGATTTTGCTCGGATAAAGCCCCATCAGTACCATAATTGGAATATTCGTTCGATCACCACGGTGATGATATATGCTGAAGAAGGCAGTTTCTGGTTTCCGTGCAAGAAGAAAGCAACGAGTGAGGCAAATACTTTTGATGCCATAATTGCATTCTCTCAGAAGAAAGCATCAGCCAAAGCATGTGAAAATTCATGCATTGTTGTTAAATGCTAGAAGAGATGATAGTAGCAATGTTAAAAAACAAGTTCAATGTGGCCCATAAATTTTGTGATAGAGGTCTGGGTTTTGTTTCAAATTTGGATCCTTTCTCATTTTCTTTGGCAGTGGAAGTACCACCTCCCAATCACAGCTGTACATTTAAATTTAGGATGATTATGATTCAATTTAAATATAACTATCACCGTAATCATGTGCATTGCAGTCATCCCGACTTTTTACTTGAAATAAATTATAACCTGTCACTAAATAATTAACGATTTTGATTGCATAAGTGGACTCTTCACTACCGATTAATAGTGAAAGGATCTGAATTATTGTTGTCGATTCTGCTGTTTGTGTTTATTGCTTTACAGAGTGAGTTACTTCCTTTTTGGGGGGGCTGAGGGTAAAGTTGTTGTCAATCTAACCTCACTTCCTCATGGAGGAAAATTCATCCTTCTTCCAACTATGATCTTGACATAGTCAAAAGATCTTACTAGCTTGCTGCCAGCTAATTGGTTCACCAAATCACACTGTTGCACACACATGACAGCCATTTTCCTTCTTTTGTCCTCTCTTGGGTGCTATGTTACCATTTCATATGTATTCTTAGAGTTTCATTTTCTCCTCAATCCCAATGATTACCTGAGGACTCTTTTAAGACTTTTGACACACTTATTTAATTTGTCTTGTTGTAATTTGAAGTATGGCTTGCTTAGACGCTTTTCACTTTTCTTGTGGTGGTTGTTTATTTTATTATTTCTTGTCCAGTTATTATTTGAATCATGTAACTTATGAAGGAATGATATATTCTAATCCTGGCCATTATCTTTTCAGGTACAGAAGGAAACGTGAAAAACTGGTCGAAAAGATTGCTGTCTCCCGTTTGCCTACTAAATGGGGTCTTTTTCAGGCTTATTGTTATCGTTCAAACTTAGATGGCACCGAGCATATTGCTGTTGTAAAGGTATAATTTTTTTTTCCCAGAGATACAAACTGTATTTGCCTCTTGAGTCGCAGTACTTCCAATCTCTGTTTTTTAGGTTTTCAATTATGATCTTAACATATTCCATATTCTAATAATATGAACCTGTTATATAGTGAAGAAATTTTAGGCGTCTAGTTTGAGAGAAGAGAAACTTGCTGACTGACTAAAAGGTTATTTTCATTAATCTGACAAAGATGTTTAAGATAGTAAGATTTCACTATGTTTATAGTAATTTACCCGAGTGAGGGTCCTTGAGGTAAGGCCCTTTTACAAGATACTTTCCCCTTTCTAGAAATTGTAGGATTATGCTTAGATCATGCAAGTAAAAACCTGTTTCTCTTCCGCTGCAGGTCTTCCATATTGCATTTTCATGTCAACTAGTCTTTTTAATGTTTCCATGAGAATCCAGCAGTTACTTTGTTGGAACATTAGTAAAAAAAACTAAGTCAAAGGTAGTCATCGTGGAATTTAGGCCCATTAGAAGATTGGTTGTGTGGTTAAATACCAAGACCTATTCACGGCATTTTGCCTTCTGGATCAAATTAATGCTAGATTCCAAAATTTCGGAGGAAAAAACAAAACTTGCAACTTCTTGTAGATTTTCCTCCTCCACTCCACATTGTTTTCAACTTTCTTGGAGGTATTGGGTTTATAAAATAGTATTTCCTTTTTTGCCCCTGTCATTCATGGACAATAGTTTAATTAATAACAATTATGATTTATGGACTATCTTACACGCTTACTTTGGAATTTGCAGGGAGATATTGGAGATGGCCAGGATGTTCTAGTGAGAGTGCACTCAGAATGTCTGACCGGTGACATTCTCGGATCTGCTCGCTGTGACTGTGGAAATCAACTAGATTTAGCAATGCAACTCATCGAGAAAGCTGGTAGAGGTGTTCTTGTTTATCTCCGGGGCCATGAAGGCAGAGGCATAGGATTGGGTCACAAACTTCGTGCGTACAATTTGCAGGATCTAGGACATGATACCGTTGAAGCTAACCTTGAACTTGGCTTGGCTGTTGATTCTCGTGAATATGGGATTGGTGCTCAGGTAACAATTTACAAGCTATATTTCTTTATGGACAACTCTGCATCAGTTCTAGCCATCTCAACTTATATGATACATTACTATACAGTGATCACTGATCCATGTCCACTTGATAGGTGGTACACCAAGAACTGTCTATCAATAGATTAGTGCAACACTTGAGACTTTGGGATTAGTATATTGATCCAATGATTTTTCCTCCGTGGTGTACTATCTTGTGGATCACTGTGTAGTACTGAAGCATAGAAGTTGAGATGTCTAAAATGGACGCCTGGTTTTCTCATGAAAGTTGGATATTGACAGGAGTAATTAAAGACCGAGTTTGTGAAGGACAGGCCATTATATTTGAATTCAATTAAACTGTCAATAGATGATATAGATCACAATGTACATTAAAAATGTCAGTATTTTATTTGCAGCTTCATTTCAGTTCAGGTTACCCAGAAGTCTAGTATTCTGAAATGGGAAACTAGCAGATTTCCTTTAAAAATGTAGAAGAAATCTTCATGAAAGAAACAACTGAGTTTGTTTTCATTGTCGCTGAAATTCCGGATATAGTTCTACGTAGAACTTGCATCTTCTCGTATTTAACCACAGTGTGCTCTCAGTCAGTTGCATTAGTGGTGCACCAAATTGATTTTTATCCTTGGATTAGCACATACGAGGATATTTGGAGGGTAGAAGCACTGCTCCAAGGATAAACATCTCTTTTCTATACCTAGTCCGCACGATTAATGCAAGGAGTCCTGATACTATCTCTTTCCTAGTATTGTGGTTTCATTTGACACAATTTTTTTATTTTATTAATTTAATTTAATTTAATTTTGAGCAGATTCTAAGGGACATTGGCGTGCGCACTATGAGACTGATGACAAACAATCCGGCAAAGTTCATTGGACTCAAGGGTTATGGTTTGGCTGTGATTGGCAGAGTTCCTGTAATATCCCCTATAACAGAGGAAAACAAGAGATACTTGGAGACGAAGCGAACCAAGATGGGACACATGTACGGTTCAGATTTGCCCGGAAACCTGTCCGGGTTCCTTGAACCAGATGCCAAGAGCACAGATTCATCGGAGCAGTGAGAGGCCTATGCTAAATATTGAAAGTATCTTACATTAGATGATTTTTAAGGTTTTCCTATTTGTTCAGGGATTGGCTTTAACATTCTACAACATTGATGCAAATGGTTGGCAAACAATGATAAAGCAATTTTTACATGTATAGTTCAGATATTTGGGTTCTTAATTACATTTGTTGGTTGTTTGATTAAGTCATTATCTAGTTTGCTTTCCGTAAGTTGATGAATACGAGGATATGCAGTGGCGGAGCCACATTTCACGTAAGTTTGGGGTGCCTTGGCCCCCCAAACTTTTGGAGTTGAAGGCACCGATAAGTACTAGATTGGATAAAATAACAATAGACCCCTCAAATGTTTTGGAATTTATATTACCACTAAGTATTAGATTTGAAAGAGGAACAATTAAACCTCTCGAAAGTTTGGAGTTAGATTGGATAAAATAATGAGATTGGATAAAAGTAAAATAACCAATAAGTGCCTCTTTAGGGGCTGTTTGGTTGTTGTTGGTAAAGTTGTGTATTTATGACGCAACTTGGAAAGTTGTTGTCCACCTCATCAATTTTACTTTTATACTTTTTTTTGTTTGTTTTTGATTCCATTGGAATCATAAATTGCTTGTTTGGTTTGCAAATGTAACTTTAGGGGTTGTTTGGTTGTTGTTGGTAAAGTTGTGTATTTATGACACAACTTGGAAAGTTGTTGTCCACCTTATCAATTTTACTTATATACTTTTCTTTGTTTGTTTTTGATTCCATTGGAATCATAAATTGCTTGTTTGGTTTGCAAATGTAATTTTAATTGTTTGTTTGGAAAGTGTAAAAAGTGGTCCCTACACAAATGATCATATTGGTTGGAATTATTTATTATTATTTTTTCCTGATTTCAATGACAGCTTTCTCCTAAAATCATGTCTTTTTTTTATGAAATCACTTTACAAGCCACATCAGCATATGAAATCACTTTACACTATTTTCACAACTACAAACAAACAATCGAAAGTGATGAAAGCTGACATTGGGACCCATTTTTTTACACTTTCCATCCTTTTACATGGTAAAAACATACAACCAAACAGCCCCTTAATTGTTTGTTTGGAAAGTGTAAAAAATTGTCCCTACTCAAATGATCATATTGGTTGGAATTATTATTTATTATTTTTTCCTGACTTCAATGTCAGCTTTCTCCTAAAATCATGTCTTTTTTCTTATGAAATCACTTTACAAGCCACATCAGCATATGAAATCATTTTACACTATTTTCACAACTACAAAAAAACAATTGAAAGTGATGAAAGCTGACATTGGGACCCATTTTTTTACACTTTCCATCCTTTTACATGGTAAAAACATACAACCAAACAGCCCCTTAGCTTCCCTTTCTTACATTGTTTTACGAAAATGCCATTTGGCACGCACCAAATCGCCCAGGAGAGAGAACTGAGGGGCGGGACCCACTTGTGAAAAAACACAAGTGGGTCCCACCCCAACTTCTCTCTCCTGCGCGATTTGGCTACGTGCCAAATAGCATAGCTCATTGTTTTATGCATTTACATGACCTTTTTCATTTAGGGCCTATTTGGATGTTTTCCGAAAAAAAGAAAATGGAAAACACACATTTTCAACTCATTTCAGCACATTTTCCATTTTTTTCGTTTGTTTCGCAATGAAATCACTGCCACGTCACATTTAAAGAAAACTCAGACGCAAAAACAATAGTATTTTCAGTAATTAAATATTAGTTTTTAATCATCTATTTCCATTTCTTGTGTTTGTTTGAACATAAAAAAAAGGAAAAGGAAATCAGCCGCAAAAGCAATAGTGTTTTCAACAATTAAATAATCCTTTTTATTCTCAGCCGCCGTTTCAACAGTGCTTTTAGTAATTAAAAAATCTTTAAAGTGACATTTCCAAGTGTTTTCAGAGATTTTTGGTTTGAAAACACTTTTCTCAAAAATCTGACGTGACACCCTCATTTCTTTAAATTACAAAACGAAACAAACATGTGATTTAGAAATCGATTGAAACCAAAATCCTACGTGACATGAGGGATTTCTTAAAATCTGACGTGGCGGGGGGTTTTCTCATTTTTTGTAGCAAACAAACAACCCCTAAAAGTAAAATAACCAATAAGTGCCTCTTTATCTTCTCTTTCTTATATTGCTTTATGCATTTCATGACCTTTTTCATTTAGATTTTATGATACTCTTTCTTATATTGTTTTATGCATTTGCATGACCTTTTTTTATTTAGATTTTATGATACTCTTTCTTATATTGTTTTATGCATTTGCATGACCTTTTTCATTTAGATTTTATGATATTATATCTTTGAATGAAAACGCATACAGGTTTGGTTTGAAGTAATATATTAGAGGGAAATTAAGTATTCATTTGGAACCAATTAGATTTGCACTCCCGCCCATTCCCGCTTGAATTATTAGTCGCCAGCTCACCGATCCCCGCCCTCAAAGCTAGCGTTCACATCACCCAACCAATCACGTCCGTCAATTTCCGATAAAACCGACGGCCACGGATCGCCCACCTCACCGATCCGCGGCCCACCCCCATCACCCAATCAAACATCATCCCCCCACCCCCCCTTATAAATACGATTCCTCACCCGTTGGTCATCTCATCACAGCAGCGGAGAGGAAAAACTTCACCTCCAAAAATTCGCCGAAACTTCCCGAGATCCCGCGATAGCAATGGCGCCCAAGGCGGAGAAGAAGCCCGCGGCGGCGGAGAAGAAGCCCGAGGAGGAGGAGGGGCCCAAGAAGGCTGAGAAGGCCCCCGCGGGGAAGAAGCCCAAGGCCGAGAAGAGGCTGCCGGCGTCGAAGGAAGGGGGAGGGGACAAGAGCGGCAAGGCGAAGAAGAAGAGGAAGGCGAAGAGCGTGGAGACGTACAAGATCTACATCTTCAAGGTCCTGAAGCAGGTGCACCCTGACATCGGGATCTCGAGCAAGGCGATGGGCATCATGAACTCCTTCATCAACGACATCTTCGAGAAGCTGGCCCAGGAGGCCTCCCGCCTGGCCCGCTACAACAAGAAGCCCACCGTCACCTCCCGCGAGATCCAGACCTCCGTCCGCCTCGTCCTCCCCGGAGAGCTCGCCAAGCACGCCGTCTCCGAGGGCACCAAGGCCGTCACCAAGTTCACCAGCTCTTAGGCCAATTAGGGATATAGGGTTTCGGTGTGATGTAACTAACTACTTTTGATGTTATCCGGTTGGCTGAAAAGAAGAAAAAAAATTAGTCTTTTTGACTTTTAAAAACTTGGCTCTTGATCGTCAATTTCGGGTTCCTTTTGCTCAAATGGTAAAAATTAGTTTTTTCTTCTTCTTTGGTTTGGTTGGCGACTATGTTGGATTTACGTGGAAATTAGGGTTGCTTCCGTGCATAGTGCTCTTTCCGTAAAAAAAAAGTATTATCTCTGACCTTTTTAAGGTGAAATCGTTAGCTTAATTGGTTTTGTCTGTTTATGCAATTTGATTGATGTATTCGTAAAAAAAAAGTATTATATCTGACGTGGGTTCTTTTGTCTTTGGCGTGCCCACTAAAAAATACCCCCCTTTTTTCTCTCTCTCTGAATCGCTTTGACCCTTGGGGCATCTATATCAGCGATTGCTGTGAAGTTTTGGGATTGATTTGGTGAGTAAAAATTAATGGGCATTTTCTCCCCTCTCGAAAATTCAGGTTTTTAGAGTTATATCTTACTCTCTTTGTCGTCTTTGTAAGATTCTGGCAATGGCCGGCGCTTCTCCAATTTTTTCCTCAAAGAATCCGCCTTTAAATAACTCTCTGAAACTTTGCCCAAATTGAGCGAAGATAGAGGAAGAGCTTAGCAATGAATCCTGATCAAGGAGATGAAGCGAGGCCTCTTGTTGTTGCGATTGAGGACTGCCCTTCGGTCGAAGCGGGCCAGTGCTCTCCGAAGAACCACGCCCGCGATGCTCACATACTAAGTTCCTCTTTCTTCTTCATCTTCTGTGCTTACGGCGCTGCTCAGAATCTGGAGAGCACCGTCAACACTGTGAGCCCCTCTGCTTTGTCCTTTGGTTGATCATGAATTGGTCCGTGTTGTTTGTTAATTTTTTTTCTTCGTGGGAGATCACAGGAGGGGGACCTGGGAACGACGTCGATGGGGATACTCTACACTTCGTTCACTTTGTTCTCAGTGGTGGCCTCGCCGGTTGTGAGGGGCCTGGGGACGAAGCGGGCTCTGGTTTTGAGTACCACTGGGTATTTGCTGTTCATCGCTTCGAATTTGAAGCCATCGTGGTGAGTTCTCAATTGGTATTGTAGGAGTTGCTTGGTACGTAGAAGTTGGTAACCGGTCTGTGTATTGTCGTTGGCTCGTCAAATTTTGCTTATTTCATGTGGACTGTTGTGGAAACCTGATTGAATTGGATGAGATATTCTTATAATAGGTGTTGATCGTCTTGTTTTTATTACATCGGCGAGTTTTATGGAAACGTTAGGTATATATATATATTTTTTGGTATCGTCTTGAGGTTGTGGAACCATGAAGCAACGTTCTTTCTTTGGTTAACTGATAAAAGTTTGGTTCAAGACGGCGTGTTTAGAATATACTTCTCCATGCTACATAGATGCGTGTTGATTTTCGTAGCCCTTATGTATCTGTAAAATGAAATGGAACAGGGATATGTGTGAGCGAGGAAGACGTATTGACAGGTCAGCCCATACTGATTTAGAGGGATGATCCTTTTTTTCCCGAAAGGGTCGGAATGTTTTTAGGGAGTGGCCAAGGGAAAGTTTGTTGGATTTTTTGGTCAAAACCGCTTTCTAAAAAATGAGTTTTCAAACTATGTATTTATTAACTATTTGATATTTTTCAGAAATTCTTATTAGCGTAGTGAAAAATTAAAGTTTTGGTGTTTCAAAAGGTCCTGTGTTCGAGGCTTGCCAACGACAATCCGAGAATTGTTTTTATTCAATTAATCCCTCATAAGTTTTAGTGGGTCGTGGGCCATGGGCTTGTGGGCTAGTGGGCCGTGGGCCAATGGGCCGGAGATCGGAGCTAATCGCGCTGAGGCGGTAAGTTGTAATTTGTAAGACGCACGTTACACTTCGCACGGAGGCATCGGGGCTAGATGGCGCCACGTTGGTTGCCTCGCGTTCGCAACTCGGGCGAGCCTCGTGTTCACAAGAGAGAACACGACCCTCACATTCGCCCGAGGCTGGTAGCGACCCTCGCGTTGCATAGAAACGCGACGTTCACGTTCAGACGTTTCTACATGTAGCAATTAAAACTGCATGCAGCAGTTACAACAATTAAGTCATTTGCTGTTACAATCATAATTGTTATTATGATTTGTAACAGTCAAATGACCCTTGAGCTGGTCTTAGAGGCCTATAAATAGAATCCTTTGGGGGCAGCTCTCATACACATGAAAAACACATTGAAGTGTTTAAGTTGTTGTGCTGCTGCTGTAGAGTTTAAAAGCGTGCAAGCTTTAATCTGTGCCTGAAGGAACAGAGCCCCGAACCGAAAGGTTATTACAGATCGAAAGATCTTTGTCTTAACCGAAAGGTTTTAACAGATCAAGGAGATCTTTGCCTGAACCTAAAGGTTTTGAACCGAAAGGTTTAACAGATCGAGGAGATTTTTGCATTGACTGACTTGACAGTACTTGGTCGGTGCACACTAGTGTACTATACTGCAATTCCTGGTAGCAGTTTGGCCTTGGGATTCTTGCACCGGAGTAGGCCAAATATTACTTTAAGCACAACGTTTCATAAACGCACAGTAGCTAAACTTGAAAAAGTTTTAAAATATAACACTCCAGCTATCTAACATATTTATCTGTTTTATTCCAGATTTAGCCAACAAAGTTCCATGACTGAATATTGTTCATCAAATGCATTTTTGTTGGCATTGCTTTTCTGCCTTCTATTGCAGGTTCACCATTAAAAGTTTTGCTTTGCAAGAGCATTTTATTTGAACACGCCCTTTAGCATGATCAAATTTTCTAATCATGGTAACTTTATTAGTAACTCTATTGTGAAGTAACAACAACAAGAACATCAAAGCTCTATCCTGAATCTTCAGGGCCGGATATATGAATCCTACACTTCTCAGTTCTGTGGAAGGCTATCTCCTCCTCCAAGTTAATATCAAATGAAACTTTTCCATTGTATTTATATTGTTGCAGCTGAGATCAATTTTCTTCTGTACTAACCTTTGTGATATGATTTTGGCAGGATAATTTTCTTCTGCATTTATAAATAATCTGATGATGGGTGCCTTCTTTCTCCAGGTACACCATGGTGCCGGCTTCTTTATATCTTGGCTTTACTGCTTCTATAATTTGGGTCAGTCAGGTATGTAACTGTCATCTTTTTGTTTCTTTCTTGTATTTTGTTTATTCTTTTTCTTGGTGATAGCCTGTATTGTTTTTGACCTCCAAATCTTGCAATATTGTTGCATTTGCTTGTTTCTAGGGGACATATCTCACATCTGCTGCACGTAGCCATGCAAGAGATTGCCATTTGCATGAAGGTACAGTAATCGGTAACTTCAATGGTGAATTTTGGGGAATGTTCGCTAGCACTCAGGTACAAGGATTCTTTCTTTTCACCAGTATAAACAAAGTCGTGGAAGCTGATTCCCATTGGGAAATGACAACTCCCTTGTTCAATTTATTTTTTCAGGTTGTTGGCAATTTAATCTCATTTTTTCTGTTGGGAGATGGAAAGGTTGGACCATTTGACAATTTCATTAGACTTCTTATCTGTACAGTTGTTGAATTGTAATTCATCTTATATGCCATCAAAGACTAACAATTTCATAACCTTGCATCCTGCAGGAAGGGGAGAATACAAACCTCCTATTTACTGTCTTTCTGGGGTGTATGATATTGGGTGCTGCTTTGATGTGTTTCTTGTCCAAAAGAGATGAAAAAACTGAAAGTCTTCCTGGACATGCGTCGGTTAATAATTTACTGAAATCAGTTATTGCTCCGCTGTTGGAAATACGGATATGGTTGATTATTCCTCTTTTTGCATATTCTGGCTTAGAACAAGCCTTCGTATGGTATACAATTCACATCTTGTGACATATAGTTCATACAAGATTGTGATTAATGGTTCTCTTCTCAAGAACTCTTGTCTTTCTAAATTCAGGGCTGAATTTACAAAACATGTCGTAACGCCAGCACTTGGTGTTTCAGGAGTCGGTGGGGCAATGGCTGTCTTCGGCGCTGCTGATGCAATTGTAGGTGAATTTGCTAAGGGGTGTTTCCTTCGTTTCCTTCGTTTCTAGAAAAACCAATACCACACAGTTTCCTTCGTTTCTCAAAACCTTTTCTTGAAAATTTAGCTTGAAACAGATTAGAGAAATCCTGTTTTGCACCTTTTTCCCCTTCCAAAGTGCCTATTTTCCAAGCTTTCCACACGTTTTTGACTATTTTTTTAACCGAAAACCCATAAGAGGGATCCTCAATGACGTCATTTCCAGGCTTCCATTATTGGCATTCCTTATGATTCTTTTTATGCTTCTAATGTTCCTCTTTAGCGAATATCTTGATGCTTTGTTCTTTTCCTATCAGGCAATTTTTTTATTCCCTAAGTCGCTTTGATTTTATCTTGTATTTCACACATGCAGACACCTCTCCTTTTGTTTTGTCCCTTCTTCCCCTCTCCCCTCTTCTTCTCCTTGAGTAGGAAAGGCATATGTTAAGCGTGACCACCAAGTAACTGCGAAGGCTCAAAGGCTGTGGTCTTGTTATTGTTAAGTTCAATTTTTCTTCAGAAACTGCACTTTATTTCTTCCTTTGACAATGGCATGGTAAATATGCTTGCTTCTCTTCCTAATAATCAAAGTAAGTCTTTTGTTGTGATCCTCTGATGTGCTATTTTGTTCTCAAATTCTAGTAGCCTTTCCAAAAAAATTGCAATTGTTTCATGATTTTGTCCGAAAACCATCTTGATTTCCGTAAGTGTTGATTTTACCAACTTAATTACTAACTGAAATATTTTTAACTTGATTAAATTCTTCTTACAACTAATAGTAAATCCTTTTTCCGCATCATTAAGTTACTCGGAAGATATTAACTGAAATCTGCCATTACAATCATTACTTTGATTTTTTGTGCCTGTTTATTTCTATAGCATTATCAGTCTTTAGATAGTTCGGCAAATATTTATATTACTGCCAATGTTAGATAACCCAGTCTTCTTATGGTGTTTTAGTGTTCAGTGGTTGCTGGGAGATTAACATCAGGCCTTACTTCAGTAACTCGGATAGTCGCTGGTGGGGCCTTTCTGCAAACACTCGTCTTGCTATGGCTTCTGTTCGGCTACAGGTTATTTTACAATTTGTTGCTGTCAACATCATTTGTGTAGGATCTGATTTGATACCAAGTGTAGGATCGTGACCCTTAAGAATAGAGTGCACTCTTATTAAAATCTGCGGAAGCTTTACATTTAAACATTAGGGGGGGGGGGTTGAATAGTGTTCTTTTAAAAATTAATGCAAAGAAGATTATAATTTGCAAAGAAATAGCACAATCACAGAAAATAACAATCACAAACACAGAATTTTAAACCCAATTAATGACCACAAAACGGCTATAAACAACCACTTATTCAAAACCTAAAATCTGGAAAAACTACATCTGTAGTCGACTACACTGAGTTTAAACAGACTCTGTGAAGTCAGAAAATTGCTTAGTAGTCGACTGCAAGGAATAGTAGTCGACTACACTGTAAACTCACAGATTCTGAAATTTTTTTTTCAGTATTTTGGCTGTAACTTTCTCATCTGACATCGGAATGAGGTGATTTAAGATTTGTTGAAAAGCTGTTGAAAAGACCTACAACTTTGCTCTTTTGAGTTTTTCCAGATTCAAACTGCTAAGGGGTACAAATGAATTTTTTAAAGACTCACTCAATATCTATAAACTCTAATGGTTAACATAGGGGATTTCTATTGTTAACCAACATACTACGCATGTGTTAATGTGTTCTAACACTATTTGTGTGCATGTGTGTGAGTGATCAAGACTTGTACAAATTTCTAAGCAAAGAAAATGTAAAATTACATTTTGACAATAAAGTATATCTTCTTCTTTGCTTCATTTTGCCTTGAACTCATTTATGTCTTGAGTATCTCTTTGAATATAATTGTTGATATAGCTCTGATACTGCAAAATAAATGTTAGCACATAATACACACAACATATAATATTTGTTATCATCAAAACAAACTAATCTTGGGGTCAAGATTCCTAACAATTTGAACTCTCAAATTGGGTTGCCTCTGGAGCATGAGGTAACAAAGCCCCATAAAAATGTTTTTAAAACTTGTTCTCAAATTGATGTCCGACATTGCAAAGATTTGATGCCTAGTTCCCTGGTGAAGGTAACTAATAAGCAAAAGAAAGTGTGGTGGAAAACATTAATGGTCAGTTGACTGCTAAATAAAACTACCTTATGTTAACCATGAAGTTTTTTCCCATATATCCGAGGAGCAATCACTCCCAATTTCCTTGCTCAAGAGAGTATGTTGAAGAGGTAAAATTATATAAGTTTCTATATGGAACTCTGCTTCAAAAGTCAAATTTCAAAATGTCATCTTTCCAACTCTTGACTTCTACTTTTAACTCCAGACTTGAAGTATACTTGTGATAGACTATAGGATACACTGTTTACTGGATAGTGTTCTTAATATACTTTCCCCCCTATTTTATGTCTGCAGCTTAAGTAGCGGAATACTTGGCACTGTTTATCCACTTGTTATGGCTGCCATGTGGGCTGCCATGTGGGGTGTAGGTGACGGAGTGTTCAACACGCAGCTAAATGCATTGCTTGGGATGCTCTTTGAGCGAGATACTGTAATGCGATTTGACTGATACAATTACTTGCAATTCAATTCATTGTCATTTTACTTCCGCATCTTCTACTTATAGTTGCACGTTATTTCGATGATAGTTCGTTTTCAGTTAGAATATAGCTTTGCTTGGGAATCTTAACTTAGATCTATACATGCATTCAAGACACTTATGTTGAGCTGTGAAGCCTGTCATTCTAGGCACTATATCTGCACAACAGTACTTTCCATGTTATTGCTCTTTTAGTCTTTTTATATGTGCATTATGGTAGAAAGCATTGATATGGTCATGAGAGTATGGCACAACACAAGATTCAGAAATTTCATGAAAAGTATGTGGGGCCACAACTATATGAGTTCTAGTTCTACATAAGAACTGTAATAATATAAGGAATCATAAATATGTCCAAGTATAATGACGGTAAAGGTAATGTGTGCACAAATGTTTAAAATGCACATAGAGGCACACTGATGCAAATACAGGATGCATGTTTCTATTACTATAATTAGCCATAATGTTCATGTGCGTAGTCAGTAAAATTAACCATTAAGCCATTTATTCTGTTACATAGAGAATAGGTCTTGATTTCCAACTTTTCCTAATGGGAATAAAACATGAATTTGTTGTGCAGCATAACCACGCTAGACATTTCGGGGTACTTACTAGTTTGTTTGCTAAATAAAACTTTTTAGCACTTGAAAATAGCTAAACATGTGGAATTTATCATTGTTCTCTTCACAATGCAAAAAGTAAACAACCGGTTGGAAGCAATAAGATTCATGCAGTGACCCAAAAACTTTGCCATAAATGCTTTATTGTTCTTTTGGTGATGGTTGGCAAATATTTATTCATCTTGAGAGTTGTGCTAGATTTTGATGATGGTCAAGAAATTATCACTACCGTGAGTTGCAATACGCACTTCCTCAATAAGTTTGTTTTACGTGTGTCCTGATATTATATTTTTCATAAACTTTTTCCGAGTCCTACTAAGGCGATTTTGTTGCAACAGGAAGCAGTTTTTGCACAGCTGAAACTATGGCAAAGTGGTGCCATTGCGGTCGTGTTCTTCCTGAGCCCATACATATCGTTGCAGGCAATGCTGATAATAATGGTCGCTGCAATTTTTGTAGCTCTATTTGGTTTCCTGTATCTTACTCTCCATGTTGAGAGATCCTCCGACGAACATTGATAGAGACAGCAGATCTTTATTGTTCTTTGTGGTTTTCGAGAAATTGTTCGAAAATTTTTCTTGGGTTTATGTTTCGGCCCGTTGTTGGTCCAGAAAAACTGGGGATACCCACTTTGTTATCATGTGTAAACCTGAAGATTGATTCTTTCTTCTTTCTGAAAGTTTTTTTTTTATGCCCTGTTTCTGTTGTCATTTACTATATATGATTATTGGAAAACTTGAGCACATGAAAGTAGCTTCGGACCATGCTTTCAAAGCTTCAAAACTAGCCAAATAAATTTGCGCACAGGTATAGTTTCATGCAGAACAGGATGACTGATGTCAAAACTAATCAAGAGAGTTTCCGTTGGCGATAAGAATTTGAAGAAAACCCTATCGTAATTCAAGAGTAGACGCTAACTATAGAAAGCGACAATTATACTAAAATAATATTCAAGTGAGTTGGTGTATGTTTATCCCTATTTCCGGATCTGATTGATGTCTGTGTTTGGTCTGCTGCAATATATTATATATATATAATTTTTTTTTTAATTAAATGTTACAGTAACAAATATCACATGCAGGATCCACATAGCCCCTTTGGGGTGCAGTTGCACCTCTACACATTTCCTAATTTGCATATTATCCTTTACCCACCCAAAAAAAACAAAAAAAAACAAAAAACAAAAAACAAAACAAAACAAAACAAAAAAAAGAACCTTTTGGCTTTTGCAGTGACACCCTAACGCCCTAAGCCATTTCAAAGGCTAAATCCCAAAAAGTATTACAGTAGAGCTCCAAAATTCTAAAGCCCAAACGCTAAAAGACTTAAAGCCCACAGCTATAGCCTAGAGATCCAAAAGCCCAAAACCGAGAAACACGATTAGATGTTGTGACCCTTGTAGTTTTTATTGGATGCCTTGTATGTGTCATGTATTAGATTGATAGCATTTTCACTGCCTTAAATTTTGTTTTTATAATGCCTTGATAAATAAAACTATTCTATTTGACAAATAAAGCTAGCCTATTGTACTTTATGGTTGATTGAATGCTATTTATTTTTGAAAATTTGTGTCATATAAAATTTAGATATTAACTATGAGTGAAAAATAACTATTAATTAACTAATTGGAATAATATTTTGATATTGATTATCTTGCATAGCATTTTTTAGTTATGGATAAATCTCTCAAAAGAAAGTCACAACGGAGGAACCATCAACTGCTCTGAATTTAGATAATCTTCAAAATTTAGAACCTATTACCAAGTGAAGTAATGGAGGGAACTTAAAAGATTATCATCCCAATGATTGAGATGATATTCGTAGAGCTTATGTCAACTGCGCAAATTTCAATCCTAATTGATTTGGGTGACTTTGGAAGCTTGGGTACATCATATCTTAAGATGTGAGCTTTTGCTTATGTTGCTATCTTATGAAGCCTAAGCAAGGTGGTGATTGTTTTACTATCAATGGGTATACTAATGGGAAAAAGAAAGATGGCCTAATAAAACATGTTTGAGGTCCATATGGTGCACATATTGAAGCTTGGAATAAATGTCAAGCTTTTATGGAGGAAAAACAACACATTGGTGTTGCTATCCAAGCAATCGGATCAAGCCAAAGAGGATTATCTTATTCACTTGATGACAACAAATGATTGTATTCGATTTTTGTTACGTCAATTTTTTATCCCTCACAATATCACACTACAAGTAAATATGTACTATGAAATATATAAAAGTGTATCGATCACGAAGAACATTTCCATCTGGTGCTATTGTCTTATAATAATTTTTTTTATTTTTATATAAAATAGATACTTGTTGCTCCTCCCCCACCCCCAAGGAAATTTTTCTAGATTCGCCACTGATTGCATGCAACATTTTTGTTGAAAAACAGTTAGGCGAAAACTATAAAATTTTGTCATATAAGAAAACTTGGGTATAGATTTGTTTCCGTATTTAGATTTAATTTTTTTTTGGTTATAGAATTGATCACAAGTTTTTTTTAATATAATACAAGTGTATTTATTTATTTAATTATAAAATTGTAAACTACACATCATATTTATATATTCGTTTACTCTATTTACATTTGTAACTTCATACCCATGATCCATCCAACCAAACAGCCACTACATGGACCATGCAGCCCAAGTGTCAGATGGGCTCGTTGCATGTTTCATTTTGGGCCTCCAATAAATCCTCAACGCTGACCTACACTTTGCTATAAAAACACAGGAAACCAACCGTCCCCATTTCAATTTACCGCCTATTTTCCCGCTCCAACCTCCAACTCCTTTTCCTCAAATCCCCCAAATCCTCCCCCCACCCCTGCGAAAAAACCCTAAAAATCCCCAAAATTCCCCCAAATTGGATCGCAAAATGGCAGCA